CTGAAAATAATAATCTCTTTTTTTGGAACTTTGAATGGAGCCCACTTCGAAATTCACCCCAAATGTCTAGCTTTGCAATAAGATATCACACCCCACATTACAGTTCCTGGAGCTGAAGTTAAAAAGTTCATTCCAATTGCTTGATTTCTCACGATACAAAGAAAACAATCTTGTTGCTTTGAAGCTTTGATCAACAGAAATATACTTAGCAATTCCACCTCAGAGACGCCCAGAGTTCTTGAGTGCACTGATGCATCGCCCCCTCACCAAAAATCACTCCCTGCCACCTCACACATTACTCACTGATACATCATGCATTCAAAGTTAGCTGATCTTTTAAACAGCTGCATTGTGAAAACTGCACACAGTGGAGCAATTACACTTATTTCCCATACACACAAGGAACCGTGGGGAACACCTTACCGTGGACAACGACAGCGGATACCACCAGGGGGGCGCCACTATGGTTCATTACAGCCACTGTGTCTATATAGCTCCAGTGTGTGGAAGAGCACGTCACACAGCTATCTTAAACTCTTCCATATCATAAGAACATTAAAAAGGTTGCCAATGAAGCCCAGCGTCATTTGATTTTAGTAGCTAATTGATCTAAAGATCTCTTCATGCCAGATATCTCCTATCTCCCCACCCCCTTTGGATGGGACGTATCAGATATTGGCTCTGTGGCTGGAAGGTTGCTGGTTCGTATCCCGTGGCCAGCAGAGGAATCATACTCCATTGGGCCCCTGAGCAAGGCCCTCAACCCCAGCTGCTCCAGGGGCGCCGTATAAATGGCTGACCCTGCGCTCTGAACCCAAGCTCCTCTCTCCCTGCCTGTGTGTCTCATTGAGAGCAAGCTGGGGTATGCGAAAAGACAAATTCCTAATGCAAGAAACTGTATATGGCCAATAAAGTGATCTTATCTTATATTAAACTGAAAAGAGGAGATACTGTATGTGATTCCAAGCCAAAAGACAGAGAAGCAAAGTCCCATGGGAAAGTAAAACCCAAGTTCCCTTTGTATCAGCGCAGAAGAGAAGGCCCCACATGATCGGTCGCAGAACCCCAAGTGTTTAATTTCTTTAAAGACATGCTGGACCAGGACTGTCCAGAACCAGAACCCGGGTTATCACCACCCGCTCTAAAGATCCCCACAGCCCTGCTCAGAACAGTAGGAGTATGGACCCAGTGTCCTGGCTCCGTTCCACTCTGGACCTGTACAGTCTGACTTCCATGAATAGAAATGCATAATTGTTTACACGTATACAGCGCTTTTCTGGACACTCCACTCAAAGCTCTTCACAGGTAATGGGGACTCCCCTCCACCACCCCCAGTGTGGAGACCCACCTGGATGATGCAAAGGCAGCCAGAGGGCACCAGTACTCTCCCCACACACCAGCTCTCAGTGGGGAGGAGAACAGAGGCATTAATTCATTGGGTAAAGCAGTTTCTCTTCTCCCGGAACCGCTGTGTTGTGGGGGGCATCGTGGCTCCTGTCTCACACCAGCCAGTCAGGGTGCTTCTGCTCAGCGGTGGAGGATGTGGATCCTATCCTTCATGAAGCGCTGTGAGACCCTTCGGGTTGACAGGCGCTGTATAAAGGCAAATATTCTTATCTCCAAATGAAGACTAGGATGGGCTTACGATGTGCTTATTTTTTTCTCGCCTCCTCCGCCACGTAGTTTCGGGAGCTGCGGTTATTGTCTAAGAAAGCAGTTTCCCCAAGCCTGTCTCCGCTCTGTCTGCTGGTTTTGTTACGTGCGAAGCTACCAATTGACCCTGCTTGCTTATGTGACATTTAAAAGCCCCCCAAATCGTAAGCTGTAGCCCCTCGTTTCAAAGAATGTCCCATCTCAAACGAATCATTTACCATCTAGATTTCAGAGACGTTTCTCTTCGACCTGTTGATGAAAAGTTGGATCCTTTTTCCTGTCTGAACAGCTCTGAACGGCGACCGGAGCATGCCAGACAGATATATAGAGATGCCATGCCAGGTGGAAACAGCGATGTTGTGACGCTCCCAGGCCCACACGGAGCGTCGCCTCTTCCCCATCCGGCAGGAATTTTAGCTAAAAAACGTACGGGAAGTTAGGAAACCCCCTTACCGAGGTATCGGGGTTGTGATACCAACTACAACCTCCGTTTCTCACGGAGCAGAGAAGGCAAATCGAAAAATGTCAACCTCAACAGGGAGAAAAAGAAAGTGCCATCGATAAGCCGCAAAACGTAAGAACTCGGCTTGAACAGAAACCACAGAAACCAGGAGACAAAGGGGTCTCCTTAAGACCAGGACTGGGAACCCGCAGGTTTTAAGGGATAAGGGGCTCGTGAAGGAGGAGGGGGGGAACCCGAAAAAAAATGTGAATCTTTGCGGTTCACAGGAGGGCAGGAAGAAGGCGAAAAAGCGGACGGGGGAAGGGGAAAGTTCCCCCTTCTCCTCCTCATCCCTCATCCCCCCGATTAGCCGCTCGTAGCCCCGCATTTCCATGAGAATGGGAGAGCGGTGAAAGGGTTAAGCCCGGTCGGGGAAGGGGGCTACCGCCGCCCGAATGAAGGGCTAATTTTCCGCCCGGCGGGGGAGCCAGGGGCGGCGGACAAAGGGCTCTGAGGGAGGCGTTGCGCGCGGGCAGGCTTTACTGCCCGCACCTGCGAGATCTATAGCGCGCGGACAATGGGGCTCCGCAACGGCCAATTAAAACCGACCAGCCGCCCCGCTTTCTCTCCCCGAGAGAAAAAAGACAACCACCACAAAAAAAAGTGAATTTAAAAAAGGGCGAGAGCGAAGTCATCTACACCCTCCCTTCCCTCCACCTCAACTCTTTTTTAAACTTTTGTTTCACAAAACGAGATCCAAACTTCACTGCCCCGGCGGCCGAAAAGACTCACAGACGCACCAACTGGCTGAGATCATTCCGCGTTTTAAAAGAACAACCCCCGCGTTCAGCGTGCGTTTACAATCACTGCGTCCTTCAGCGCTGAGGAAGAGTCTTAGAATCTGACCCCCTTTTCCCTCGCCGTTTCAAATCGTCCTGCAGTTTTTGCTCAAATGTGCCCATTTGTTTCCTTCTAAGTCTAATAGTTGCAGGCATGTGCGCATTCAACAAAGCCATTTTCACAGACCCGTATTTAATCCAAAACATCAATACTGATGCAGTCTATCAGGAGTAATGACTACATACTATTATCGTGTATGGAACTACGTACTATATGCAATATGCAGTTTAAAACTAAATCCTATAAGTAGTTATACTCTGTGCCTGACAATGACTACTTCTACAGAAATCGTAGATAGTGTTTTTCAAATATTTACAAGAGTTACATCACGGCCGCATTAATAAGTTAGTTTAACAACTAACTAGTATTCCCTTACTAGTATTCAAGTCATGTAAAAGTGTTGAAATATTTGGACTTTGCATACGGGCTGTTAAAGAAAGAGGAACCTTCTCCTTCTCCAGCCGGAAATAAAGTAAAAAATACAGCAGGACGCCAATTATCATACCACTGAAAATATATAATTAACCTTATTACACAGTCTAATGCGAGTCAAAAGGACGTCCTTCAAAGCCCCTATCAACTGTGTATTTTCGGTTAAGCGGACTTTCTGAACCTGACAGAATCTGAGCAGGATGTCACCGCATTATTACTTGAAAGATAAACTTAAACAACAACCAAGTCTATAACGGGTCTACTACGGCTCTGTTATTTACGGGTTTTGTGATGTCCCCGGCCCTGATGCGCTTTGAAATGTAAGGCAAACAAGCCAAAAGTCGCAAATAGGTTTTTCTCGTACTTTTTCACCTAAGGGCCTGGTTATAGTGTCTCCTGGTTTCTGTGACACCTGAGATTTCACCTTTTCTCTTGCTGGATATAGTATTTCTAAATAGGCTACGGGGAGTTTAAGTAACAAAACCCGTTGGAGTAACCTTTACAAAATCGTACACACATCAGTAAAAATGCAGGTTAATTACTAAATTGACCCAGTTTCGAGTTTGGCCGAGTACGAAAAACGTCGGTTCCAGCAAAACGTCTAATGTTAAGAAGCCCGCATGGAGTTGGGAAATCGGGTCTCTGAAAGACCTCGGAGACGTCTTACGATTTAAATTGTAATTCCCGAATTAAAACCACCGGTGACTTAGCGATGGTGCTGTGTCTCGTCACACGGGGCGAAAACAAGTACTTGACCCCACAAAACTGTAAAGCAGCTGTTTGTCATTCTGAGCCCAGTCATCGACAGTAATTTTATAGCTTCACGTTAGGAGAAATCTTAAAAATTAAAATGTTTATGATGCCTGTAGGAGCGTAAGCCTTCGCTTCTACAGACCCGTTGAAACGACCTACGTAACTACGCCGCCTCCTACCTTCCTCGTTTCCGGTTCTGAAATTTCACTTGCACACACAGTCCATTGACCAACGTGGCACAACGAGAAAACAGTAGTCATACAGGGCTACTGGTGTGGTTCAAAGTAGGTAGACGTCTGGCAAAGTAACTTTCAGCTCAAGCTGCTGCACGCTGCCTTTGGCCCTGTCCAAACACTAGGTCGCGCTAATATCCGAGCGATAAGACCCCCCTCAGTTCGAGCTGCAATGTACTTTTCCAAGACGAAAAGCTATAGGCTGTGTAAAGACGGATTTTCTGTTTGAGAAGCTGTTTACACCCGCATTTTACAAGTCTAGAGCAAAGGCGTAAACAGCGATTTTGAAACAGGGGGGCTCTTTTAAGAAAAGGGTATGTTGGGGGTTCTCGCTTATTAATAAATTCACCTTTTAATGTTTAGATTGCAGCTGCCCTTTGTGGTAACAAAGGTCCGACACCGTGTTCCTCACTCGTATATCCGATGGGAAATCAAAGTCCATTCCAGATCGACTTTTAGTAGTGTTGCAAATGGTCTGGATTAGAACAACTTCACAGAAGCTCCAATCTCTCCCATAGCTGCTGTGTCCGAGAAACCAGTACAACCTTCAAGACTCCCAAACATTTCAATAAATCACACAAGACAGGTTTACAAATTTTAAAGCATTTACTTTTTTTTTGTTCGTTTGATCTGATCCTCATTTCCACTTAAACACCCTTAGTATAAGGGATTTAAAGAAAGAAAATCTGTACACTTCACAGCTCCAGTCGGCACTCTTACAGACTATTTACAATGCACAGTATTAACAGCTATAAAATAAAATACACTTTTAAAAAAGTTTCAAAAAGCATGTACAGTTACACAATCGAATTGCAATGTAAACATTTGTGTTTAATATAAATTACAGTATCAACCCCATTTGTTTAACTGTTCTGGATCCAAATTCTAAAACAATGTACAGAAATTCCTATTAAAAACAGTGGTGCAAGCTTCTGTTGACAAAAACCCTACTGGCTTGAGAACACAAAGGGATTTGTTCTGAAGATGAAAGGATTGTGATATAGTCAACCGAGATGGAGAACTGCTCCTTGCGCGAGAGAAATGGAGGCCCGCATCCTTCAGCAATGGGGAGTCAATGTTTATCTGAAAAGTCTTCAAGACCAACCAGCAGGTGCCCAGTGACAGTTAAAGGGATATTAAAACCCAGTCTGATGCAGACACTCAACCAGTAGTCATAGCAAAGTCCAAACCCTAGAAGAAGCAGCAATCTCTCGCTCTCCAGACAATGGGCATTGAATTTGAGCAACCAGGATTAAACTCAAACTCGGAGGAGGGCCCAGCCCAGCCCTTGAGGTCCAGTATCTCAAAACCTTTTCAGTCCAGCTTGGATCATCTTGTTATTGGCCAAATTGGGCCGGTTGACAGTTTTCACTCCAGATTGTCAGGGGCTGGCACTTTAAAATGAACTGGAAAACCAGCAGAACTAACCCCCACCCCCAACAAGACCAGAACTGGATACCTCTGCTCAAGGAACACATCACCAAGGAGCAAATGGGATCCCCACAGGACCAACTGGCTCTTGTGTTACTCCCCATTTAAATGGACTGCGGGCAAGGAGAGGAAGGGGGGGGGCTTCATATCTTGGAAAGGAACCAGCACTTCTCCTTGTCCGCCCCCAGGTCCAATGGCAAGCTCGCTCATTCCCAAATCACCGAACAGCCAATAAACCCCCGGGATAAGCCGGAATCTCAATTGAGCCACCCAGTACCCGATGGCCGCTTCCCATTATCCCAACAGAATGCTTCACAGGAGCAAAGAGATCGCCACCTCAATACACTCCGGGGTCAGTTTCTCCTCTCAGACTCATTGAAGCTCATTAAGGTAGGAGCCTGACCTTTTAAAATAAAAGTAGCAACCCTTAGAATTGGTCCTATTTTAGATGTTCCCTTTCCTTTAAAAAGTTTTAAGGAACGGGACACCGGCGTTAGCTGTCAGACTAACGAATCGGATTTGATCAAGGAGGGGGTAGGGTCCACGATTGCACCTGTTAACACCTGGAAGGGCTATATCCAAACCGATGCCTCTATTGTACAGCATCACATGATAAGGGAAGGGAGGGGGGGGGTGGAACAGGGAGTAAACTATGGCACCTTTCCCACAGGGCCCACAAATCACACCCATGCTCCTCAAGACATTGTTAATGGCACTGGGTAAATACTGAAGTCTGCTGTAAGAGCCCAGGCAATGCAAATGGTAACTGGATGTGGAGAAGAGGCACAGAGAACTCGGGAATGATCAGACCCAACACCAACCCTAAATTTACATGAAGGCGTACTCCGACTGGGCAGAAGGACAAGCCCTCCATCCAATCAAAAGCCACCTCAGTACCAGGTTTGGGCTTGGCAATACTGGGGGTTGGGTGTTGAATGTTTTGATTCAAAGGGGGATTTTTGAAGAATCTGTGAAACAAGGAATGGAAAGAACCACTCCACAGGAATACTCCTGAACCCACATTCCTGGTTTTCACTGCCAGTCTTCCTCAGGAGGTACTGCCTGAAGAGTAAGAAGAACACGATCTGCTCTTGTTCAAAAAAGTAAAATGGACGGTTTCACAATGAGGAGTCAGAATTACACAACTCCTGGCAGCTGCCACACTCCAGCCTTGGCCAGATTCAATGGGATTCCCATGGAGGTTGCCCGTTAGGGGCTTCCCTCAATCCCGGATCATATGCAATGGAACTGCTCTTCCACACCAAGACTGCTCACAAAAACCGCAGCGATCGGCCTGCCATCTGGCAGAGATCACCGTTAGCCGACTGACCGCCAACAGAATTTGCAATCCGTTACACCCTTATGGATAACAGGAGTGGTTTTGCATGTTATTTCTTCCCAAGGGAGTGAGGAAGCTTAATTTTGCTCATGCTTGGTAAGGGATCAAAACATTCTTTTGAGAGCTGCCTGAACATCTCTTTGCCTATTAAAAGACATGACTGTAAAAGAATCCCGAGACCCCAGAGCAATGGCTCTCCACATGGCTCAGTTCGGTCCTATTGGCAGTTTCTACTGAAAGCGTCGATTTTTGTATTCCATTTCCAAGCTCTCAGAAGACTTTCCGACCCATTTCAGCTTAAAGGCTCTGACCTCGCAAAACCTCCCGATTCTCTAGACCCCAGCTGTTCCAACTGAGCTTTCAATTAAAAAAAAATCAAAGTAAAAACACTGCTCAATTGGACTTTAGGCCAGTCAAATTTCAGAAATAACTTACAATATGCAAGGTTTTAGGAGATCCATTTTAAAAAGCAACTAAGCAACGGTGCTTAATTCAGGCTGCAATTAAGTAATGGGGAGCTCAGCTGGAACCAATACCAGCCGACACTGGGGTCACCAGGACCCAGACTCCAGCCCTGTACCCGTCAAAATCAGAACAGTGGTCCGTGGGTTAGTGGGAGCTGCCTGTTGCAGTTCTAAAACAAGTTAACATACACATTTAATTCCGGCTGCAAAGAAAACAGGGTGGCTATTTACACAGCTCCTTCATGAGGGGGGAAGTCCAGGGACATGAGTGGGAGCATCAGATATGGGTCAGCGGGACGGTCCCACTGAGATAATGCTGTTGGACACTGGTATATCCCCTCTGGGCCGCAGGGTCGGTTGTATCGCTGCTCGGGATGTACATGCTGATCATGTCTCGGAGATCCCCCTGCAGGGCCCCTCGGTGGTGGCTGGGGGCCCCTGTGGGCGAGTGCGACACCGGCTCTGGCTTCACCATGGACATGACGGAGCTGGGCTGCTGGGGGCTGCCTCCGTAGGACATGGGGCTGCAGAGAGACAGGAGGGGGGAGGAAAAACAATTAAGATGGTTAATAATGGAGAGGAGTCGGACCTCAACAAACACAAATGGTCCGGTGTCGCAAGGCAAGTTCCCCTTTTTTTGGAGGACATTTTCACCCCTCTCCTGTACTGGGGTGAGGATGGCTCCCAGCAGAAAACAGCCGGAACGGAGAAGAGTGTAGGCATCACCGATTCAGAACTGAAACAATTCTGGACATTTGACCAACCATCCACATTTGACCATTTCCATTCCACCTTCGAGATGGGGATGTGCACCCTCTCAGCGAAAACCAGCAAGCAAAGCCCTAAATCCAAAAGCTAAAAAGATGGTAAGGTTAAAGTAGTCCAGAAAGTTAAAACTGCTGACGTGGCACCTGAGAGAAGCCAAAAAAAAACCTTTAAAAGCACTGACCACGAACCATACCACCTCTTTCAGGCGCTATGCCTCAATACAATTTCCATTTGATGGGCTGGGGACCAAGACAACAGGAACCAAAGACTGTTGGCAACATCGCTGGGAGGGGACATTTCCGAGACGTACGTTTCAATGGCAGGGCATAACTCCAGCCCACAAGCCGAGAAATTCTTCCGAAGGCTACTGCCCCGCTGTTCTATGGCCTTGGGTACAGGGGACTATCACTTCACAACGAAACCCTTGCTTACTCCAGGTGTGACACTCGTAGCAAGGAGCGAGTCTCAGCTGGCCTCTCCACAGGGAGCGCTCTGCAAAGGCTTTGTCTGCGGCCCTAACAACCCCCTCACCTCCTTGCCTATTAAGCCGGACACCAACTCAGGGATACTGACCCACCCCCAACCCACACTCAAGAGAAACAGGTGCCTAGGACTCTGGAGGACATTCAGAAGTCTCAGGATGTTCAGAACCGTTCCAGCAGGAAACGTGGAGGGGCCAGGGAGATGGTGGCGGGGGGGGGGGGGAAGCCGGAGAAGGTAAGTGGCAGAGGCCTTTATGAATGGAGCTGGGACAAAGCAGTCTTGTTGCCTGAATGGGGCCAGTGTTGTGCCTGCGGGGGCAGCACAGAGGCGCAGATCTGCCGCTGCCGTGAATGGGGCCAGTGGAGGTTGCCAGGGTTGCGGTTGCCATGGGGATCCAATCGAAAAACTAAGCCGACCCTTGCAGAGGGGCGCCGCTTTCATGCAAGTCCTTTGAATCGGAGGGGGGCGGGGGTTGAGTACTACCCCAGCTCACACTGGGACAGCACCTTACCACACACCGGTGGTGTCAGGGCAGTGGTCAGGGCTCCCGTCTCCACATGGCTGGACTGCTGGACTTTTGAACAAGGTGCATTTCCCAGACTGCTGCAGTTCAACCCCACTGTAGAAATGGGGACTGCGATGTGCTGTGTGGAAGCAGGTTATCACAGTTTCTCCAAGCCACTTGAGAACGGTCTATAAAGGCAAGCCCTCACTATATAAGCACTGAAGGTAGGGAAAGTTCCTGGAGGGTATCGGTTTGCACAGGAAGCACAAAGATGTCAGGCTGAGGCTTCTCCTGCCCAGGTCTGTCAAGCCCTTAACGCCACACAGGCCATCAGAGCCACTCTCTGCGGGCGGCAGCACTGGCTTCAACTCAGAACCCTGATCCTACAGCCACAACGACGGCAAAATATTCCTCTTGTCGCACGATTCCAAAGACCAGCCGAGTGGAACGAGCTGCATCCTGCTTCTATGTCCTCCATTCCGCACAGAACTGGAAGAGTTCCTATCCTGCCGTTTGTTCAAGTTCTACCGCAGAGCCATGCTCATATAAAACCTTAAGCAGTGGGACTTAACCCAGGTCTGCTCATTCCCCATGGATTTTTGCTGGATGGAAAAAAAAAATCACTACATCCAGTAACTGACACTCAGGCAGACAATAGGACAGGCATTTCCCCCCACTCGGAGTTTTACAGTGCATTAAGCACTTCATTAGGGAATTTTACCTCCGAGTCCTACACAACACTGCTCCTGCAGAGAAGGAAGACATTTTACCTGATCAGTTAAATGGGCGATTGGTGAAATTTAGAGATCTTGTGCAATGAGAAATGGAAACTTCAGCCCTCAACAGCCAGAGTCCTCAATTAAAAAAAAAAACCCTCAATGGACTGGTGTTCCCCAGGACCAGGGTTGAAGACCTCCTGCTTCACACAAAAGGGGCAGAGAAACTGTCAACTTGCATGCCAATGTGCAAGCTGAACCTGGGAAGCTGCAGGTGTAAAGGACACACACAGCTGGTGTATAACAGGAGCCCTGGTGAACTGTGAGACTTCCTTTTCATGCCAACTGAGTGCTCAATTCTTCAATTGAGCCAATTAAGGGCTTAGCCACAACGCATGGAATCTTTGAGCCACCAACTGATACTTCCCCCACAAGCCTTATAACTTACAACCACAAAGAGAAACCTTAAATCCAAGAGTGAGACGAGCCCTTTTGAACTCTTTTCCACGTAGATTAAGTAATAAATCACAACCCTACAGCCACCACGCCCATTGCAAATCTCATACCCAAACCCGTGTGCCAGGATCTTGCTCCATCGAATGGAAAAACACCCTCAGATCCTCACTTCACTGAATCATCACTTGCCCAAGGATTATAAAGATGGGGATGTTGTATGCAATCAAATCAAGTCAAGCAAAACCCCATGCTTTGCCGTTTAAGGCACTGTAAAAGACTACATAAAATAAAAAAGCAGAAAAAATAAGACTAGGCTTGTGTAAGTTCTTGTAATGACACTTCACAAAGTCTTTCCTGAAATGGTTTATGATGGAGTAGTTCAGGGTGGGCAAGATGGTAATCTCTTCCTGGAGAACTAAAATATTGGTTAAAATGTCAGATAAAACGCCTAAAGATTTGGAAGGATGCAATGATTCAGTTGAGACTGTTAAGAGCTCAGGTGGAGTAAAAACAGCTGCAGGACCTTGTGACTGTGAAGACCATTCCACTAAGTTGCTTATTGGAACTCATGACACAGAATAAAATGACTGAAGCCATCAGCATTAATAAAGGAGGCAGCAACTCTTGATGTCCAAGACCTCCTGGAAGAATAAGCAGGGGTATCCCTGAGCTCGAGGAACAGCTCTCTGCCCCACAAAGCCTTCTTCCAATTCAAAAACTCCCTTTAAACCGGAAATAGGAAATGCCATTCCTGGAGGACTGATTTATGATTTGGTGTACCTGTCAGATCTAGAAGTCTAAAAAGAAAATGACAACTCAACTAAATGCAGAACTTAAGTAAATTAGGGTGAAGAACACTCCAAGAAACATGTAGCTTTCCAGGACCAGAGATACCCATCTGTCCTTCAGCCCTTTACATCCCATCAGGCAGCTAAAAAAAAAAAGTCTTCAAAGAGGAGGAAGGGCAGGAAGTCCAGATGTGAACAGTGGCCTCCAATATGGGGAGTATCTTTTCACAGACCCATGAGCTAAAGAACACCCACATTTAGGAAACAACCAAGACCACACTTCAACCAGAGGAATCAATCCCTTAAAACTTAAGGTTTCCTCACAAGTGTTATAAATATTTTAAACTGAACTCGGACCTGGGGCCGTTTTCAGCTCTTAAACGTGAAAAGTGACCATGAAATGGGACTTTACTACGTACCTAAAATATAACTCCGAGCTTTCGAGTATCACCAGTTAACACGCCACTCTGTGAGCTCGATTAAGGCTTCAGTGAGGTAATGAAACCCAGCTGGAATGAAGAGCAGGTGCGGTGCTCTGCAGGAGCATGACTGGGAACTCCGGTCTAACCAACAGACCGGAAAGCGCGGGACGCCCGCGCGCGGAGACCTGGGTTTAGTTAGAAGGACAGCGGACTGTTCGGAGCCCACAACCGTGCAGAAGGGACAGGGGGGAGGTGAGACACAGGATGGTGGTTCATGCGTTTCCCAACTCATCGGGGAAGCAGACGTGCTGTAACTGAGGGCTCGAGTTGAGAGATCAGGCAGGGGAACGAAATCGGGTTTATAGAGCGCCAACACCCCCTTCCAGGACGGGGCTCTCCGCGCCTTGTGCAGTATTTACTCGTCTGCTTAAGACGAACAGATCTATACAACGCATTGTGGGTCAGCTCCTTAAGGAGATCGGGCTAATCTGTTTGAAAACCGAGAGCCCACGAAAGCGCTCTTATCAAGCCGAGAACAATGAGTCACCACCGCCCCCCCCCCCCCCCCCC